TGGCCAGTCAAGAGAAAAGGATTAGGGTTGACATGATAGCAATATTCCAGTATTTGAGGGGCTGCCACAAAGAGGAGGGGATCAATTTATTTTCCAAAGCCCCAGAAGGCGAGACAAGAAACAATGGGTGGAAACTAATCAAGGAGATATGTGCGTCTTATGGTCAGGTGCGTCTTATAGAGCGAAAAATACGGTATATTAACTATATAGCACAAAATGAAGCAATAATCAATGTAAAATACCTGTTCAACATCATCTGACCTTTTTGTATTAGGAAAAAAACCCAAATAAACTTACAGTTGTTGTATAAGCTGCCTCAGGATCATCCTCTAGTACCCGTGATAATCCAAAATCAGAGACTTTGCACATAAGATTACTGTTGACCAAAATATTCCGAGCTGCCAAGTCCCGATGTACATAACCCATATCTGAGAGATATTTCATGCCGGAAGCAATTCCACGAAGCATCCCAACAAGCTGGATGACTGTGAAGTGGCCATCGTGTTTCTGAAAGGAAGGTAGAGTTTCACTTGACATTTTCATATTGTGCAGGTAAAACATTTGCTAAATATAACAATTTATATTTCAAAGGTCTGGTTATTTTTCAGCTAAATCTTCTATGAATTTAATATATAAATTTGATAAATAAATGAACCCAGTTTTTACCTGAAGCATAAATGAGCAGGATCAAATTATTATATTTTGGACATAGTATCAAAGACCTAACCTTGGAAATGTCTACAATGTTGGGAAAGGTGGAAATAAAAAGACGGCACCAGCAGCAAAATGTATGGATTCAGGGCCAAGAAATGCAGCATTGGAAGATTTGAAGGACCAGGTTAGGGACATAGTGTCCAGAAGAAAATCTACCTGTTACCACTAAGAATTGTCACTGACTGATGGCACACATTCAACCAATCAATTTCTACAAGGTGTAAAAATAGCTAACAATTTCTCTGAAGCTATCAACATGTCCAGCATGGAATTAACTAATTTCAGACAACTGCAGGGCATAATGCTTGATTGAACAATTTTACTCTGCACTTAACTGACAAGTGGTGTTTGCACTGTGATGCCCTGCATGAGTGCATAGATGATTAAGAGAGCCTCACTTCAGTCAGTATAAGCCTGTCCCTCATCTCACTTTAATTCCAGGTCTTTCATTAGCCAAGGACTAAATACTCTCTCATACAACTACCAAAGAATGATAGCAGGAATATTTTGGAACGCAATGCATTGGCCTGTACCTGCATAAAATGTGAAGAACAGAAGAGTTCCAGGATATAAATAATGGGAAAAATCAGAATACAATATTATATTGGAAAACAAACCTTTGTTTTTGTTTAATAAATTTTCTCATGAAATAAAGGAAAATAAATTTCACTGTTGTCTATGATCTATGCCATGCTATAATTGACTAGTTAAAGTCTGAGAAAGACAATGGCACTTTGCAAAATAATTCAGGACCAGATCATCTGAATAGGACCAAATCATCTCTTATAGAAGGAAGTGATTGGATCTAGTTAATAAGACTATATGAAAAACTAGGCTTTTTCATTGTGAGCAGCTGCTAGGGGCTTGACATTAATCTTGAAGATTGGATATGTATATTTTAAGATATACTTATCAGATATTAAGATATACTTGTTATGGCAGGGATTCTGTTCCTGACTGCCTCTTGAAGCAGTGGGGATTTTGCAAATGTTTTGGCTATGTAATACTTTGCAAGCTGACAGCTTCTTTCTCTGTCTCTCAGAAGTCCATCATACATCTCTAAGGACAAATAGGAATTTGAAAACAGAAATTAACTGTTGGGCAAAATACTGTATTACACCATGGATGGGCATCCTGAGAGAACATTTGATGCTTTGTAATGGAACAATCTAGCATATTTGAAACTTATTTTATAGCAACTACTGTATGTGTAAAAGGATTGTACTACAGCTTTTTAAAATAATAATAAAATACAGTAGTCCTTTTAAATCATACTGCTGTTTCTGTCAAAAGAATTTAACATATGCATGAAATATTGTGTGCTGAATGAGAAATTATTTCTTCCCTAAACCTGAAACAACAGGTTTATTGTTTATTGTCATTTTTTCCTGTGGGCACAATGGCACACATTAAAAATGAAATTTAGTTGCTTCTTCTCAAAGTGTACAAATGCATAAGACATTTAAAACATACTATATACAACATATGTATAGACCCATACCCTAACATATAAGTAACATAAATATTATTCACTGTCCATCTTGAATACATAATGGAAGGAGGAAGCTTTAGAGTTCACAAGGTTAATACTGTATGGAACCAAGCTGTGACTGAATCTGGATGTTCTGCTTTGGATGCCACGAAGCCTCGTCCCAGAAGGTAACAATGAAAATAGGTATAAATACCATGAGAATTACAGTAAGCCTAAATAACAACTTCTCCAAAGATGACTCTATGACAATAATGTGAGCAATATGCTCCAAGAAGAGGAACTTCAGTATTATTCATATAATCATTTTATTCATTTTTGCATACAGAAAAACTTGGCTAAGAACTTTATTAACTTTCTATTAATGAAATAGTGTATCAAGACTTTGTTGAATAGAATAGGGAGCCAGTCATACTTTACAGTTCTTTGCAGGCTTTCCACAATCTCTCAAGAAGGCTTACAATGACTAGAAGACTGACTTCACAATCAACTCAAGAAATACGGTGAGCAATTTCTATAGCTCTTTGGGAATAGCTCAGAGTGGCTTTCCTTCTTGAAATATGGGTGGACTATTATGACCTTTCCCACTGGTGAGGACCTGTGCTTTGATTTCTGGTCTAGTGAGTATAGTATTTTAGTTGTGGCTTTTTTTGTTTTGACATTTTCCCCCTATTAGTTTCTCCTAGGATTATTATTATACAATGCTTTGTTTTAATCTGACCTTACAAAAGAATTGTATGATGTTTAGAGATGGCTCTGACTGCAGCTAATAAACTTGATACATAAAAAAGGGGAAGCTGGCAAAAACCTTGTATCTTTGATTTCTTGGAATGTTTTGCTGGATGAAACAGTCTTCCCTTAATCACGGCATAATAGATACAACATGTCACATAGATTCCTCAGTTCATGAGTATTACCTTATATAATCAATATTATAAAACATTACAATATTCATATCATACATTTCAACAACAAATTGGAAATTAACAACTTAAAGCTACTGTGTAAAACCATCTGCTGTACAGGCATACATACATACATACATACATACATACATACATACATACATACATACATACATACATATATTTAAACTTGTGTACAATACCTGCCGAACATCAGAGTGATAAAAGAAGAAGTTGAGAAAAAGAAGAAGACACAGTATAATATCTGAATTTTCTAGGAATGTAGAATTATTCAGTTTGGATATTTGATTCAATTGAATTTCTAAAATCAATGTATTTTTGAATCACATTGGTATGGAGAATCAAACTGAATATTTCAAAATCAGTATTGATTTATAGGCTTTTCAGCTTCTGAAAACCCCATTTTTTCTTGAACTGAGAAGCTGAATCAAATTTGATTGAGCAAGTCTAGAATTTTCTAGGAACATGTATGTAATTGTGCATGAATTTCTCTGAAAATCCTTCCTTTTATTTTAAAAAGTATGCTTGATTTATTTTATTTTGTATTATTTTATTGAATTGTGACCCAGGAGTCTTCAAACTTGGCCCTTTTATGACTCATGGACCTCAACTGCCAGAATTCCTCAGCAAGCGTGCCTGGCTGAGGGATTCTGGGAGTTGAAGTCCACAGGTCATAAAAGGGCCAAGTTTGAAGACTCCTGGGTTAGAAAACAGATTCTATGTCTATATCACCTACTTGTTGGGTTCACACCTTGCACTATAATGTGGCTGAAATAGAATTGGGAATGTGTGATTGTTGTTGTGTAGTTTAGTTTTGTTTAGAATGCTATGTGGATGATGACATTACATTAAATCATAATATAGTTAATTTGTTTGCTTATGGAGTATTACAGGAACATAGCAATGGTCTTTTGCTAACATGGGTTTGGGATTTAGATGTAGTGGATTTTATCACACTTTTTCAGGTAAAGATGCAAACTATATCTTGTCATGCCATCTATTGAAATATTATCAAGATATTTCCATTATTTATGCATTAGCAATGACTAATTTTGCTGTTATAAATAAAAACTTAATTACTTTTTATTAACCTTTTTTTATCTTGCAATGTCTTGTTCTGGCCAACAGATATGTGTGACAAACCTAGTTTTGGAGATAATTCAGCCTTAAATCCTTAAATGCCTTTAAACACATTCTTCCCAAAATATCATTGTTTATTGCATTCCCACCAGAGGAGAAAAATGTTCCTTTCCAATTATAGCATCTTATTGTTTATTTATTCAACATATTTATATAGCTGCCATCTCATAACGACATAACCCTGAGCAACATGTAAACATGGCACCAGTTAAAAACTAAATTCAATCTGAGATGCTAGACTTAGTGATGTTTTGAAGAGATGCACAAGAACTCTATAGTGCTTTTCTGACAGGTGGTGATGTTTCTGATATGCAAGTGCACTGGCCCAAGGGTCCCATCTTATTCTTCATCTATTATATTAAATACCCCACATACAATGCATGATCTAATATTAATAATGTTTTTATATTGCCTCTGAGGTAATTTTATACAATGGATACAGACAGGAACAGAATATCAGTTCTGCTTCTGTTTCAAAAATAGTTGCCACAGCCCTTAAGAGAAAATTTTAATACTATGTCATGAATGGTGATAACCGTGGCTTTGAGTGAGTATGTAGCAGCAGCAGCAGCGTCCTCTCCAGGAAGCAGTGGCAGGAGTCAATGCCAGAATTCACTGAAATCCACTTTTGGCTCTGTTTTTGTAACTAATGTGAAGTTTGAGACAGATACATGGGGAATGAAGTTGTAATGTTCAACTATTGGAATAACTTTTATATAGCAATTTTGCCTGTTTCTATCAGCAAGAAAAGCACAATACAATATTATAAGAGCTATAAAATTTAAGAAGTTATTTAAAGAAAAAAGATCAAGAGCTAAAATTGTGAGGTATCTGATTGTAGCATTTCCTGTCACATGCTACATGCTCCAATATAATTTGGGGCAAATAAAACAAACACTGCTGTAATAAATATTTTTTTTCCTGAAATGCAGATACCCTTGCCTTTAGGATATATGTTTAGCAGGATCCCTGACATATAAAATCAGTTCGCTGATTACTCCATAGAATCTCATTTGAGGCTAGCTTTTTAAACTAGATATTTGAATAAATTTATTTGTATTTTGATATACAAAATTCTCTGGATATTTTTTAAAATTATTTTCTCACAAGAAATAATAGAAACTGTTTTTACTGAGCATTTATGCTACATGAAGTTGGTGTAGTGCATACTTTTGATTCCAAGGGGTTATCCCCAAAATTACTTTTGATCCAATTCCCAGTAGTCTGTTAAGAGAGTT